TATAATATATATAATGCCATTTTTCCATTTCCAATGACTACACCATAAAATGTAAGCAAGGCTTCTCAAAAACACTGAAACATTCAAATCAAAACCCTCATTCAGACCTTCACATTCCAAAGGAAAAATATTAACAGTGCAAAAGCCCATTATAATATAATTATTTATAACCTGGCCCTTTATGTTACATATTGAAACAATGCAAATTATGTTTTAATGTGCTGTGCCCAAAACTGTAACAAAAACAGTATTAATAGCTATCTTCAAAATGTAAATAGCTGATCTTCATTTTAGTCAATTTGCAGCTTTTACCAGACAAAATGGCATGTTAATTTCAGTGGGGAGCTATGGAATAGTCTCTAACTTTGCCAATTAACTTAATTAGCAGTCGATGAATATATTATCAAGGTTTAAATACAAATGTGTAAATCTTAAGTTTTGTTAAAAATTTAAAAACTACGTTGAATGAAACTGATGAGGTATGGAAAACATGTCAACATTATTTACCAAGAATATTTTAGATGAAGTTCTGCCTAATCTATTCACCATCAACTCTATAAATGCTGCTCTAATAGGTCCTATGCAATCTGTGTTTGTGAATTAACTAGGTCAGACCACAGCAAGTGAACAATTTCAGCACCAATAAGTTATTGAAAATGGATTTTACACCAATAAGAAATATAATGGCTGGGTATTCAAATGTCAAGGTCAAAATATAATTTTAAAGACACTGAATTTCTGGGGGAAATAATCCTTTTTAATAGAATCTTCACATTAACTTTACAATAGTAGTTGTACTCTGCTTAAAATCATATGCAGTCTGGGCTTATCAAATATATGATGGTATTTAAGACATGAAGCCTTATTTCCCAACTCTAGCACTACGAAGAAATGAATCAACACTGCACATTGAACAAATTCTATTCTTTCAATAACAAATTGATAAATCATATGTAGGACAATTACTGAAAAATTAAATGCCTTATCTGTGCAGTGTTGAAAATTTACTGCAACTCTAATTTGTTTTTTAACAAATTTTTAATATACACATATGTATTCAGTATTCAAGTAAAATTCCCTAACAGTTAATGACATTTAAAAAATGTGCAAAACTGCAAAACTCATTGTAATAGAATGTGTAAGGTCAAAAGGGTAGAACGGCTGACAGCTACCAGATTGAATAAGTGCATCATAAATCTTTAAAGAAAAAAATAACTCCTTACTGTAGAATCTCAAAATTTCCTGTGCAGCATTACAAAATATTTTATATTTAGTGAGTAAAAAGAAGCTTGTACGCATCACATGAAGCATCCACAGCGTGTATGATTGAAACCTAATAAACTGTTGAATGATGTAGGTACTAATAGCATCTGACTTTTAGCACTGGTTTTGATTACACAGGAGATGGAGCAGTCATTACAACTGAGAAAACATATTTAAGAAATCATTGTCGATTTTTATAATGTTTCAAACCCATTCTTTGTTGATAGCCTCCACATTTATATGGTTAAGTCATTGTTGCTGTGTTTCTTATCTATGACCACATCATTTTTACTTCCCTTCACTTGTGGACTCTTTAAGGTGTTGCACAAGGTTCATTCCTGTACCCCAATACATAATCATTCCCTCTAGCTGCCTTTTCTAGCACCAATATGCTTTTTTTTAAAAAATGCACAAACAACAAGCAGTGACAGCAGCCAATTCCTCAAATGTCCAGATTAGTAACTGTAGCATGCTAAAGAAAGGTGCATGTAAATAGCTGGAGATGGCATATGGTCCAGAGTCCAGCATAAAATATATTCCTTTCTGAGCACTCCCTCCATTCCCCCAACCTGAAGACATGCATTAAGATGTAGCAAAAACCCTTTAGAAACTTCTCTTAGCCAACTGCAAACTTATCTGTTGCCACAAGTGCAAAGGGGTAGGATGTGAACCTGTAATTTGCAAAGCTCTTTAGCCACTTTGATTGGTGACAGAACACAATTGGAAAAATTCCCAAGTACACACATCAGTCTGTCTCCACTTTTTAGAAAACTGGAATAAAATGGGAAAGTGCCATTTTTATTTATCCTAATTAAATTTTAAATGTCCTTTTGACACAAAAAGGTATATACATAACACAGCTACACAACCTTTTTTCAACTGGACAACAAGTGTCAAAACCCTGTGGATGTATAGGGTAAAACAAGATTGGTCAGGAAAAGAGAATTGTTCCTATAACTGGTAATCTGACACAATGTCCTATTGCCATTTAAAAAAAAAAAAAAAAGTCCATTTTCAGTTTATTCAAGTTTATATTCATGGTTTTTAATTCCTCTTGATAAAAAAAAAAATCAGACTTTTGTAATTTGTGTGTGCTGATCTTCATCAAAAGGCTCGTTCTCTGGGTCAGAGTCAGTGGTGTCAGAATATCTATAATGATCAGGTTCATTGTCACTAACATCTGGCGTTACGGAAGTTGAACTGCTAGCCTCTGGGTTTGATGGCTCCTCTACTGTTTTTGTGAAGTACAGCTTCACCTAAAGAAAGAAAGTTTAAAATGAAAATCTGCTATTATGACTAATCTTAAATTACTTAAGTAAAGATAACATTTTCAAAATTTCTTAAGTACTATAATAAGCACGATCCTAAAGGTTAAATGATTCTCAAATGACTCTAATATTAGGATGCCTACAGTTTCTTTCTTGCTATGTACTGAAAAGATAAACTGAAATATTACCATACCATTTTTCAAGAAACACGAGCTACAGGCACCTAATCCTATAAAAGAAATGCAGACTGAAAATCATCAAGAGGTTATATAATATGTAGTTTTCCCATCACAAAATTCAATCCACAAATGGCTGAGTTCCAAAAGAATATTTCTTACTATCTGTCTGAAACTTGTGCTTTCTGGTCCTAGTCATATTATAAAAACAACCCTAAAAGCATCACCTAAAAGGAGAAAGAAGAGAAAAGTTAATACACATCATACATTGATCTGAACAGTGGGGTGAACGGCCTTTACATGTACAGTCCAAATATTTGTCAGAATACCTCTAACACATCAGGGAAACAAAGGCCCAGAAAAGTTAAAGGACACATACCTGGTGGCAAGCAGATGTGAGATTTAAATCAGATCTGACTTTAAGTCTCTTGCTTAGTCTATCTACAGCCTCTTCCCCCCTCCCCCCCTTTTTTTTGTGGGACCGGGGGTTGAACTCAGGACTTGTGTGTAAGTGCTTATCCTACTGAGCCATCTCCCCGGCCCCTGTTCCCTCTGTTATTCAAGAGTTCTTCATCCTCAATGTTTCTTCTCTTACAACTAACATTCACTTTATCTGCCAGTAGCTCCTAGTTGCCCTTCTTTGCCATTATTCTCATCCAAGCAACCATCACTTCTCACCTACACTACACGTACACTATAGATGGGTTCTTCATTCTTTTACAACCTTCCATTCTTGTCCCTTCCCTACTTTCCTTCCTGGTATCTATTTCAAGTGGACAAAGACAAAATTTAGATTGCATCTTTCCGTGTGCCATGAATACCTTCACAGAAGGACTAGTTTTCTGATTCCCTCTCTTTTAGTCAAAATGACTCATGCCTCTCAAACACACCAAAATCATTTGTCTCAGACTCTCTATACACTCGTCTGTCTTTTTCCATCCATTTAGACAGCTCACTCGTCTTAGTTAGGTTCCTGAGTAAGTATTATTGACTTGATCAGGCCTCTCTAACCATCTTAGCTGAAAAACAAGATCATTTTCTGCCTCTTTTATTTGGCATAGCATTTACCGTGATATTAGTTTATTGATAACCTACAATTAATTTTTTATTCATTTTATTGAGAAACAAATAGCAATGAGACACTTTCAAAACAGGTCAGTAGGACAGTTAAAATAATTAAGACATTGCATATTGTTGTCTTCGTAGTGGTTATTCATAGTACAAGATGCAGACATGATATTCTGTCCAAACTAACACAATTAACATTTGTAATCATAGATGTAAACTTCTTGCAATATAAAAACAAAACTAGAAAGAAACATTTTAAAGCTAATGGTTCAGAAAAACAGATTTAGAGAACTGAAGGAAATAAAATCTATGGATTCTAAGGGAAATTTTTATTTGTTGTTGGTTTTTTTGTTTTTTGTTTGTTTGTTTGTTTTTGCAGAATGGAGGATTGAACTCAGACCCCTGCGCTTGCCAGGGACATGCTTATTCCACTGAGGCATCTCCCCAGCCCATCTCAGGGAAACTTTTAAACAAGAAATTTAAAATTAGATCAATTTTTTAATTTATAAAATATATAAACTATTTTAAGTATTAGCAATAGTCTTATGCTTATTAGCTATGGTTAGGTTAAATTATAAAAACAATGAAAATGGAAAAATTTTAAAGTATTAAAGAAAAAAATCAAGTTGAAGAAAAAATAGGAAAAGGAAAGAAAAATGGCAAACTACCATTTAGGAATATATGTAAATCAGATTTTTATTTTTTTTATTTTTTTTTATTTCATGAGTTCTTGTCTAGCCAGGCATGGTGGCACAAGCCTATAATCCCAGTACCTTGGAGGCTAAGCAGAAGGTAACTCCAAATTCAAGGCCAGCCTGGACTACACAGCGAGACCCTGCGTCAAAAAATAAAAGTTCTTGTCTACACCTGGGCACACATCAGCAATCCCTACTTTGACAGCCTAAGGCAGGATGATTGCTGAGTTCAAGGCCAGACTGAACTACACAGCAAGACCTGGCCACCCCCCCACAAAAGTGTTCCTGTCCATAAACAGAAATGCATACACACACAAACACAAAAATGAAATCAAGTAACTCTAAGACATGAGGAAACAGAATGGGCTTTTTGAAAGAGAACAACAGGGATGGACAATCAGAGCAGAAGAACTTAAAGACAATAACCAAGGCTAGAAATGATGAGGGCAACCATGGGAGGGAGAGAGGAAAGCAAGACTGGGGTAGAGTTACGAAGGGTAAAAAGTGGAAAAGCCACAGCCAGAAGAGTAGCCTTCTACAGAAATGAAGCAAGACCACTGTGACTGAATGTCAGCGAACAAGGAGACACTGAGGCTAGAGCTGAGGAAGGATGCAGGCCTGTACTAAATAATGTACGAGGGTCTTTTAAAAATGTTAACACGAGGGACACAATGAGATCAATTTTTAAGATCACACTGAAGAGCTGTGAATAAATTAGGGGCTACAAGAGAGTGTGAAAACATTCCTACAAAGCATTTTCAAACAACCTAGCTTTCATCTACTTCTTCCTTTCCTCATTCTTACTTCATATTCCACTCACTTAGCCCCTGTCCCACACTTTTAAGCCAGATTTCACCAAACAACAATAAACAGGTTAGGGAAAAATGTGAGGTTTTTTTGACTCTGTGCACCTGGGTATTTTATTAGAAACATTCAGGTTACTGCTATATAAACATTGCTTCCACATAACACATAATTTAGTTTAAAAATAAGCAAGGTCTTGAACTGTACACCCA